CTCCCTCCCGCCTCTCCACTTCTGTTTCTATCACTCCTCTCTCCTCTCTCCCTCTCCTCTCTCTTCTCGTTCTCTCGCCCTCCTGCCTCTCTCCTCTCTTCTGTCTCCCCTCTCTCTTTCGCTCTTTCTTCTCTCTCTCTCCCTCGCTCCCTCTCTTCTCATTCTCTCTCCCTCCCGCCTCTCCACTTCTGTTTCTATCACTCCTCTCTCCTCTCTCCCTCTCTCCCTCTCCTCTCTCTTCTCGTTCTCTCGCCCTCCTGCCTCTCTCCTCTCTCTTTCACTCTTTCTTCTCTCTCTCCCTCGCTCCCTCTCCTCCTCGTTCTCTTGCCCTCCCACCTGTCTCTTCTCTTCTGTCTCTCCCCCCCTCTCTCTCTTTTGCTCTTTCTTCTCTCTCTCTTCCTCGCTCCCTCTCCTCTCTCCTCTTTCTTCTTGCTCTCCCTCCCTCGCTCCCTCTCCTCTCTCCTCTCCTTCTCTCGCCCTCCTGCCTCTCCTCTTCTGTTTCTCTCTCTCTTCTCTCCTCTCTCTCTCTCTCTCTCTCTCTTCTTATTCTCTCTCCCTCCCGCCTCTCCTCTTCTGTTTCTCTCTCTCTTCTCTCCTTTATCACTCTCCTCTCTCTTCTCGTTCTCTCTCCCTCCTGCCTCTCTCCTGTCTCTCTCCCCTCTCTCTCTCTTTCGCTCTTTCTTCTCTCTCTCTCCCTCGCTCCTTCTCCTCTCTCTCTCTCCTCTTCTTGCTCTTCCTCCCTCGCTTCCTCTCCTCCCTCTTCTCTTCCCTCTCTCTCTCCGTCCCTCTCTCTATCTCTCTCCTTCGATGCCAGGAGTGACAGCTCTTTCAACTTCTTCGTCTTCTTCTTCATCTTCTTCGCCCAAGACGTGATGTACGTCCTGCAGGCCGTTGGGATTCCCGGTTGGGGATTCAGGTAAGGGGGGGGGGCCTCCTAAGCGGAATCCGGTCAAGTGGGTTGGCGCCTAGATCCCAGGCGCACCTTCGTTTTTCCGGTCCTGGATTTGGAATAGTGAGCAGATCAAACGTGGCCCTGTCCTTCCTCCAGATAAATTTTGTATTTTCTCCGTTTTCCTGTCTTCCAGCGGTTGGATCATCAGCTTCGTCGCTCTCAGACAAAACCCAGGGGTGGGCATTTTCATGATCCTTGTTGCCGTGTTGTTCACCGTCGTTGCCGGGCTGGGCATCATCATGTTGAAACGGGTGAGTAGAGCAGAAAGCATAGGTAGTCCTCGACCTACGACCACAACCGGGCTCTTAAATTCCCATGGCTAAGCGAAACGTCAGGCGTTAACTCAGGGTTGTCCCATTTTACGACGTTTTTGGCTACGTTCCCAAAGTGAATCGCTGCCGTTAGCTGAGTTAATAAGACAGTCGTTAAGTGAATCCGGCCTCCTCCGTGGACTTTGCTCGTTCGGAAGGTCACAAAAGGGGGGTCACCCAACCCCGGGACAGGGCAACCGTCATAAAAACGAGTCAGTTTGCCAAGCGTCCGAATGTTATCATGTGACCATGGGGATGCTGCAACGGTCGTAAGGGTGAAAAACGGTCATCGGTCCCCCAAACATTTGTAAATCGAGGACTACCTGTATTTGATGCAAAATTTGGATCGGTTCTTCCTTTTCCATCTCGGACGAGCCCCCGATTTCTCGCGCCCTCGTAGTCCGCGAAATTCAGCATGTCCAATTTCCCAGCCAATTTTCCTCTCTTTTCTCACAGATCCACTCCCTTTACCGCCGCACCGGCGCCAGCTTCCAAAAAGCCCAGGCCGAATTCGCCGCCGGCGTTATGTCCAACCAAACGGTTCGCACGGCGGCGGCCAACGCCGCAGCCGGGGCAGCCGCCAACTCGTTCCAGGCCCCCTAAAGGAACGGCGACTTGCAAGTTGTCATCGGTTGGCCGATTTCGCCGGGACTCCTTCACCGAAACGGAAACCCACCCACCCCCCTCAAGTGCACGGCCTTGCCCTCCTGGGGGGCAAAAATTCCTCTCCCCCCCGCCCCTTTTTGTGCAGATTTCAGAAGCTTGCGATCTCGCGACGGATCCACCCCGCTCCGGCTGCACTAACGTGAAGCTCACCGATCCCTCGACGCGGCTTGGCTCTTCTCTTTTTCCGCCCAAAATTGACAGAGGACTCAGCTGCTGTTTCATCCCTGCTTGTGACTCCTCTGATTTACCCAAGCCGGGAGGAACGGGGGTGGGTGGGTGGGGGTGGGGTGT